ACAAAAAAAAAAAAAAAAAAAAAGACCATGTACAGGTAATGGCGAAGATTAAATCTAAACATCTAAAAACAACAAAGTTTTATATTTATATATAATTATTATGTATGATAAAATAAGTTTTATATTTATATATATCATTATTTTATAACTAATCTAGCTAAAGTAAGTAGCTAAAGCAAATTGTAATAATCTAACAATGTTAGATTGTACATGGTTAAGTCCTTAACCATGTAAATATATGGTATTTGTCACATATTCCTCAAATAAAACAGCTAAAGTTAACATACTGTACTGGGCTGCATTTCCAGAAGCCTAAGTTGTTTGTAAAGACCACACGTGCCAGTGGTTTTCATGATCTACTTAGGTTTACACTGCTTTTGGGAAATGCACTCCTGCTCTGAAGTTGACAAAATGGTGATCATCCAGCCAAGGGCAAGACTGAAAGTGGACGTTGTTTATCAGGTTGGACTTGTATGAGTGTTGACTAAATATGAACAACACCAACTCCAAGTAAGAACACCAACACTTTTATTCTATTAACTGTAGCAGTGTTAGGCCTTATACATTAAATAAACACTCATGATTTCGATGTGTAGATATCCATAGCAGAACTGTTTTTACCTGTTAGTCTCTTCCTGTCCTCTTCCTTTTAAACGATTATAACCAACATGAAGAAATATAGGCAGAGGAGCAAAGGTTCTGTTTTGCAGCTCCTTTTAAACATTCCTTGGGAGGGGGTTTGTTTGGAAGGTTGGGGAAGTGTTTGTGCTAATGCCTGACACAGTTAGTCCTCTTTTAAATGCCTGTGTTCTGGCTCTCTTTGCCACAGGGAAATTGCAAGAATGCTATAAAATGGGGGGACCTTCCCTTCTTTCTTCAATATGGCTTGTAGTGTACTGTTTGTTTTTATTTCAATTTCAAGTAATACTCAAAAGAGGTGGTTTTTTTTGTTGGTTTTTTTTTACTCACAGATGCTTTCTGCTTTCTTTATTCCCTGAAGCAGGGCCTCCATTCTGAGAAATAGTGGGTCCACTGCTGGCCTGCTAATAAGAAATCAGCCATAGGTATATGGGGGGAAAAGGTAGATTGTATTATTATGGGGATTATTGACGTTTCAGAAGTTGAGGGTTGAAAATTAAGAGGTATTTAAATGAATATGATTGATTTTAAATATGAATATGAAGTTTTTTAAGGTTATGTTCCAAAAAAATAATTAATTAAAAATATTAGCCAGATGTTATTTTCAGTTGGCTGCCAATTGAGTTTCATATAGATTTCACAGGCTTGGTTATGTTTAAGGGTACAGGGACCAAGTTAGGGATCAACAGTGTAATTATAGATGTAACTACAGAATTTCACAATGTAATGGGAAATCAAAAACAACAACAACAAGGTCACACTTTATTTTGTGTTCTTGTTACAGTGTAATTATACATTTAAGTACTGAATAATATTAATTAACTACATGTACATACTATATGGTTAGGGGTTGGCTTAGGGTTACTTGCATGTAATTATGCATAATTTATTATTATAAATAGTAAGTACATGTAACGTGTAACAAGAATACCTTAAAATAAAGTGTTACCAAAACAATGTCAAGAAAAAAAAAAACATGTATGTACAAAATGTGCATAAAATCAACTGACTAATTCAACAATATAAAGTGGGTCAAATTTTTGTCAAAAAATAACATTTTATAGTCTACAAAGCAAAATAATTTAGACTCATAATGGAAACTTGTAATCAAATAAAAAGAAACAGCATATACAGCAGGTTTTTTGCTTTTCACATCTGGAACATGCCTACACATGAAACAAAATAGTTTAACAGCTTGAAATGTACTGCCATGTGTATTTAAAGGTTCATAACTTTTCCTCAGCAACACAGTGTCACACATTTCTGCTTTGAGAAAATTGACTGAATATAGAAGTTCTTCATATTCACACAGACAGCTAAAACTCACACACGGCATGTTTAATTTGTCACAGACCCCAAATGATCACAATATGATTAAAGTTTGCAGTTCATATAATATCAGAGTGTAATATATCCATGATTGTGCATTTGTTCCATTCTTTAAACGCTTTGACAATGTTAACAAAGTGTAACGGTCCAAATCATGAGATTTAAATTGTACACTTTTGTATAAAAATAACAGCACCTGCAGCAGTTATTGAAGAAGCTTTAGAAAGTAGCAGGCCTCTCATTACAACTAATGAAAGCCTAGCTTTGACCCCTGACCTCTGAACATGGATATTTGATTGGAACCAATTTCAAAGATGTACAGAATGTTTCTTCACTGGCAAATTTTGTCATTAGTTTAGTAATCTCCATCTACCAGCCTCAGTTGCTCAATTAGCATGATGTATCTGCTATTTAAGAATAGTGAAATTAAACCAAGGTTTTAACTAAATTATACTTTAGATGTTGTTAAACCAGTAGGTGTGTTTGTGTGGATGGGTAGATATTGGGGTCATCATACTACTCTTTTTCTGTTTCTGCAGTATGCATATTTTGCACAGTATGTAAATTTTCTATTTGCACAAAATACCTGGATGAAATACAATATTTGCCAAAATATGAAATATACATATCAATATTCTTCTTAATATGTCAGTACAGTTTATACCGAAAACAGTTCCACACTCTTTTTGCATGCTATTTACACATTACACACATTCCAAAGTAGGCTGCCTACATTTTCTCTGATGAATGTCACAACTGATTTTTGGTGGAGAAAAAAAAACAAAAAAAACGCAACAACAACACATTTTCATGTACTCTCCAAAATAGCAGTGTGGCTGTCAGGATAGCAACCGGAGTCGTAAAGAGTTAGGACTGATGTCCAAATGCAGGCATTTATTTAACAGGTTGGCACAGGTAAGGAACACTTCACACACCACAAATCTTAAGCACAGACAACCACAGAATAAACACACTTCATACTTTACAGGAGAACATGATGGAGGGAGAGTGTGGTTTACAATGCAAGAGATAAATACTGAAGTTCTAAGAAGGAGATTAATGCAGGAGATCAATGATGGAGATAAACACCGCACAATATTTATCTGTATCTTGTGGTTAATTTAAGTCCTTGTAATAAAGGCTCTGCCATGAGTCATACAGTTATCAGCAGGTGAAAATGGTCAGTTATGGGTTTGTTGTCTGGTCTAATATAGATTTCAGCAGTTCCTTAATCTTAAATAATATTTTCTTTGCAAAATCTCCATCATAGTGAGCAATTAAAAACGGCACAGGTTGTTTAATGTTCAACACATCTACAAAACAGTGGAAAATGTAATTAGTGTCCATTCCAACGTGCAACATGAGCAAAGGTCTTCAAAGCTGCTTTTGGAGACCCTCTGTCCTGCAAAGTTTAGTTCCAACCTGCCCCAACACACCGGTCTATACTTTTCAATGATCCTTAACACCTTAATTAGCTGATCCAGGTGTGTTTGATTAGGGTTAGAGGTACTGCGTTCAAGTCCTCTTGGGACGTTCGTACTTACGAGCTGACAAGTCAGGTGCGTTCAAATCACTTTGGTTGGAACAAGATGGCGATTTAACATTTCTACTTAAAATTAAACGATTTTTTTTTTTAACTCTACATCTACAAAATGATGAATAAAGAATGTGCAACATTGTGTTTTTGCTTTTTTTTCGGGTTTTATTCAATTTATGAAGATGTAAACTGAATCATATATTCTATGGAAATTATACAATACTATAATATTTTGTATATGTAACTTATACAGTTCTATTGTACATTGCAAAAAAATTATAATTTTATTAATTTCAACAAATTTACCGTCAAAGACGCTGCATAGGCTATCTATAGTCTTTGGCTGCGTCCATTGCATCCGACACGTTTTCTCACTGACACGGAAAACTCGGAAATACGGGGCTTAAAGACAAGTTCAAGTTTCCCACTCATAATAACGACTTTGTGGTGGCGTTCTTGTAAATACGATCTATCCGACATGACTTGAATGCACCATTAAACTCTGCAGAACAGTGGGTCTCCAGGAGCAGTGGTTCTACTGTAACATGCTCGCATTCATTTATTTGTTTATTTATTTACTTAAAATTTTGGGAGGAGTTAAATTGACATAGGGCCTGAACAACAAAGATCCATTCACATTAGGAATCTGTCTCCAATCATCACCTGAAGTGGTTTCACTAATTGGATTGCAATCCATCGCAAATGCATTACAGAGGGCCATCACATTTTAGGATTTACCTGGAATGAGTGAAGAACGCTGCATGAAAGTGTCATTATGACAGTTAGCTATTTCTATATGTATTGTTGTGCTATTCTATTCTGTTCTATTCTATTCTAGTCTAGTCTAGTCTAGTCGAGTCTATGCTACTCTAATACAAACTTTAATTCAGAGACCTTCTGCACTTTAAAAAAAAAAAAATGTTCCCCTTAGTAATAAACAGTTACAATATGAGACGTTTAGATGGTACGTTTTTATTGTAGGCTATCCCAATTCACATAGCAAATTAAATATTTGTTAACTGCAAATTTGTTTTTTGCAAACTGTGCAGCCCCAGTTCAATGTTTATCCTATACCAATTTCTGTTAAATTCATAAAAAAGTGCAAATAGCGTACTTCACTACATTACTAAAATTAATGGCAAAAGAGATGTTGCAAATGTAAACTCTACTAAATACTAAATAGCCTATATTTTTTCGTATTTGTTGTTGATGCAGGTAAGGACGCCCAATATAAATGCATGTGTTGCGTTCCCTCGCACATCACAGGCGGAGTTTGTAGCGCGAAGATGAAAAACTCCCTGTGCAAATGATTACAGCGCTGCGGGAGACGCTTCATCACACTCTGAACACAGCAGCACAAAACCGGACATCTACTCGCAGCAAGAGTGTGAACTGCTTGAAGCAAAGAGCCTGTGATATCTTGCGGATTAGTAGCGTCATAGCTACTCGAGATGGAGAATCTGTAATAGTTATCGATCGAGGGCGCTGAGAATGAAGAGTTTATGTCTCCTGCAATACCCTGGGGGAAATTACCTGTGTGGTTTTTTGTGACGTGTGGATTTACCTTTTTTTCTGCCTAAACTTCCATTTTTATGGATCTTGGGGAGAAATGTAGAAATATCCAGACAAGCAGCACAAGCCAACCGCAACAGCACTGGGAGTATTCGCTATCAACATCTCAGTGGGATTGTAGCCTATTATTATTATTTATTTAGTTTATTATATTTTATTTTATTTTTTAAATAAACCAATCTATCAACCAGTCTTTTGTTAATAACCATACAGAGCCCAAAGAGGAGGTCTTCCTGAGACGGATAAAACGGGAAGCAAAAGACGATAATAAATGACATTTCCCATCGACTTGGTCAGACATCAGTGAAGGAACGTCTTGTAAGTTTTATAAACTATCCAACAGTTTCTATCTATCTATCTATCTATCTATCTATCTATCTATCTATCTATCTATCTATCATCCATCCATCCAACTAGTAGCCTACGTGACTGTCTTTATAACTAGTTGTTTATGACGCCATCTACTGGCCCCGGCAGTTTCAGTTTGACCTGTTCTTAATTTATTTAGGTTTTAAATCTTTATTTGCAAACCGAGATTTTATTTCTCGATTCAGTCTATTCGTAAGAATAACATTTTATAAAGCTCCATAATGATAGAGCAAAAACCAGATTTAATTTACAAAAAGAAAAGACACACAGGTATACCTTTGCTATGACTCTTTACAGATGATCTTTGAGTTTGAATGCATCTATGAAAAATCCAGCTGATTGATTGGACATGATTCAGAAAGGCACGCACCTTCCTATGTAAATTTTATATAACAGCTAAAAACTGAAAATGCATATTCGGAGAAATTTAGCATAGGGCTGCAATATAACAAAATGTAAATAAATAAAAAAAACCTGAATACTCACTGGACTCAGTTTTATTCAAGATCTGTGAATTAGTTTTATGTAAATTTATACTACAAATCAGGTAGGGTGATACAGGGTAATGGCATCACAAAACTTGTCCTGTTCTGGATCTGGACAATCTCTGCCTCATATTCAATGCCCAACCTTTACAGCTGCAAAGGATATACCTTTTAATGATCCATTTGGTGTGTATTCACGTTCATCAATTTCAGTGTGGTTTAGCTTTCACAATTTTGTTCTTACTGTAGGAGACGTCAATATCATACCTGATGCGACATGACTAATGGAGTAATGTGTATCAGTTAAAGACACTTTGGGGTTTGGTTTGTGGAACTGCCCTAAGGTGCAGGAGTTTGGGAAAGAGGCTGTTATAATCATTTCTCAGATGGTATCTATAAATCTACCCATGAAGTCAGACGTTTTATTTTTGAAATTATTATTGAGAATATTGTATACCGTGGCAGCACTTGTAAACTGACACATGTACACTCCAAGCAAAGCGTCTAATAGCTTTGTACTGGAAGAAAGTGAAAAAGGCCATCTATTGTACAGTGGATCAATACCAGGTCCTTCTGTTTAGCGATGGAAAAGATGCAAAACATATATATATATATATATATATATATATATAATGTAAACTTTCTTATTTTGAGAATATTTGGTCATTATCTATCTGTGTATGACTTCACTGGATGAGAAAAAGAACATGTGCCTTCACAACTGGAACTAAGAATTACTGTTTCATGGGAACACAGGAAAGAAACAGAAGGCATTTTGCCAGTGTACCATCTGAATGTTTTTGAAACTGATAATACAGTGTTTGTATATATAAGAGGTATAGTTGTAGCTTAAAAAAGTTGCAGAAATTCTTAAAATGTCTCAAGATTCTCAAGCTTGGTTTTGCTTGAAAAGATGCAATGAGTTTACTTTAACACCTCATCTACCAAAAAAAAAAAAAAAAGAGCCTTGTGAATTATGCAGTGGGTCTGCTTTGAAAAAAAAAAAATAGGTGGGACAGACGTGTTTCATGTTAGAGCTTGCATTTTATTGTGGTAGAACTTAATTATACACTTTTTAATACTGGGTGACAGCTTTTCTGTTTTATATTTTTTAATTCATAAAAGCTCATAAAAGTCATTTATTTAGTAAGCGGTTTACGCTGGTTGAGTGAAACATTTTGTACACATAGTTTAACTTAGGTTACTTTATAATATGGGTCACAGTCACACTACCCCTTATGTTGGCAGAGTCTAGTCACACCTCTGCTACCCTCTTGGCAGAAAGGTTTTACATAACTTCACTATAGAAAATGTCTCCGGGTTATGTATGTCATCCTGGTCCTCTGAGAAGGGAACAAGATGCAGCAACATTGTGTTGACGCTATTGGTACACTTCCAGTGTGTGCCGGTGTCTGAAGCACAAGTGAAATCATGTTGAAGTATGGCAACATGATGCAGGTGGGGATGCAACACCTATAGATAGTGTTGGTAGACTAGGAATAATCACGGTTTCACGGTTATCATGATTATTATGCATTTATTAATTTCACAACATTACTTATGCATAAAATCACATGAACACTCTTTAGATTTGAAAGTGTTATTTATTGCTTCCTTTTGAAACAGAAATAACACAGTAACCAAATAATACAGTACAAACTAATAATAAAGACAAACAACAAGTTCATCTCTCCCATTGGAATTAAAAAAGGTGACTTTTTTTGAATGGATGTAAACATCCATGTCAGTATTTCCCTTTTGAAAATAACGAATGAAAATAGATCACAAAAGTATTTAGTGTTTTCAGTTTGTACATTATTTCTACATTTCTTTTGGACCTGAGGTAGAGGACTTGGAAACATGGTGAAAAAAAAAAATCCTGTTGGTTTTTGACATAAATAATACTGTAACAGGGATAATAAATATGTTAATAATATGTTAATGTTAATGAAGCATTATTATTAATACAAGACACATTTTTACTTTGTTTATCCCCCAGGGGAAACTGTTACTGTTACGTATTCATTTTAATAATCTTTTTAATAATTCATCTGATTTTACATGTGGCCTGAGAAAATCATGTCTATTATTTTGGTTTGTGAGATTGGAGATCATGCTGCACACACAGAAACATTCGGGAGTACGGAAAATTCTCTCTCTCTCTCTCGCTCTCTCTCGATCGATTGAATAATTAAAGTAGCTAAATGTTATAATTCATTCATTCAAATAAATGTGACCTTACCTCATTATTTCCTCTCTGTCTGATCTGAAGCGGGCAGAACGCTAAGCTAACGAGCCATAGCTTTGCGTCAGGTGGTTCTTCATGCCGTGCATTAAAATGGTTTAATGCAAAGCTAGCCGTGCATTATTCCTTATGTATTCGCTCTTTTAGCATCAGTTTTTTACAGCAATATTTAAATGATGCCCTCGTCATACTTGGTGTACCCAAAATGTTAATACCCAAAAGGCATTCTCTGGTGGAAATAAAGCTTCGTTGTTTGGTCCCTCTGTCATAGTTAATCTAGTGTGTGTAGTAGCCGATGTGTCTCTGATAAGCATGGCACTTTAAGCTGGTGCACTGCTGGTGTAACTTTGTTTTGTGCAAGTTGCAACAGTTCCATTCCGTGCAACAGAAAGACTCGGTGTAGCGCAGCATTTACGATTAATTAACCATGACGTTTTAAAGCGCGGTTAATCGTGAAATTGGTTAATTGCTGCATCCCTAGATGCAGGGTCTCATTCCCTTATCAGGGAAATAGGATTACATATGTAACCCGGAGACATTCCCCTTGGATCGAACTTTGACACTGTGCCTTGGTGTTGATACTATGGGAATGTTAATATACACAAGGATGATTCTGTATCCAAACTGTAAACCATACGAATGTGTGTGGAAAGGACCAGCCTGCTGCAGCACAAACATCTTGCAAAGGCATACCCTAATAGAATGCCTTAGAAGGTGCCAAACCCTGAGTGGTGAAGTAGTAGAGGTGAAGGCACCCCATGTGCCTCATAGGCCAGGAAAATTGCGTATGTGATCCAATGCGATAGACACTGCTTGGTGGCTGCAGTACCCTTGCTGCGTCCATCAAAGCATAGCAAAAGTTGATTAGATTTATGCCACTCTAGAGGGAAGAAGGCCTGAAGTACAACTGGCTGCGTGGTCGAAGAGGGCACCTTCGGAACGTATTCTTGTCTAGGGAGCAGAATTACTTTGGCCTGTCCAGGGGCAAAATCTATGCAGGATGAGGTTACGGAATGAGCTGCCATTTCAGGGCAAACAGTTTCCTCGCGGAGAAGGCTCTAGCATTTAGTATGGTCTCAACAACCACGGTTGAGAGACCAAAGTCTATAATGTGGTCCCCCTTAGGGGCCAGACCCACAGTTTTCAGATCTCGGGCCATGTGTAGTGAATAAAGCCCAGCACTTGAGATAGAAGGTCTCCCTGGATGGGAATCTTCCATGGAACACAATCTAGGAAATATATAAGGTCCAAGAACCAAAGGGGCTATGAGCAACAGGTGTATTCCATCTTGTCGAAGCCTTGCTAGAACTCCGGGTAACAGAGCTATTGAGAAATAATCATACAGATGCAACCTTGGCCATGTCTGTACTAACTGAGGCAAACAAGTCCACCCCCCTTTAATCCCATTAAATGCAAATGATCTGGTGCTCCCGGCCCCCTTTTCAGAAGAGGGCGGAGCTTCAAGAGCTCATGTTCCGGCATACCGGCAACAACAAAACAGGACAATCTTATGCACTGAAAATGTCAGAAACTCTCAGTAGCTGTGTTCAGCCTTATATGTTGCTTTCATATGCAATTATTAACTACCACATTCCTATTTACGATCATTCTGGTAGCACATGAAGGCAGCATCAGTGAAAACAAGCAGAGACAATGGTAGCTTTAGCAAAAATTAGCCTTACAGATTGCCAAGAAACTCTTTCAGAAAGGCAATTTGGAAAACAAAATATGACGCTTGATACTTTGTCTGGAGATGACGTTCGCGCACAAAGCATCCCTCTTTCAGAATCAACATTTGTGAAAATCCAGCGTTGAACTGACCCTCGTTTGTGAGGCAGTCCGGCGTAAAATGATTGGCACAAACATATAGGACTTTACTGATTTTTTCCAGGACATTTCCTTAGAAAATAAAACTTAACCACAGTGTCCTTAGCGGCTCAGATGGAGGGAGTCTATGGAGACTCCTATGTTCGTTGGTGCATTCCAACACACGACACTTGTAATGCCTCTTTGGCACTGACATTGTATTTCCAGCAGCTGCAGCAAGAAAACAGTAATGGCGGACTGCTGCTTCTCACTCATGTATCTCTGCTAATAGGGCAGAGATCATCACAAATGGGCAGGATTTCTACCTACAGTGATGTCATCGTAGGGAGAAATCTGGAAATGCTTGTTCTGAGAGACTGTTTATGATTTATTGGGATTATATAAAATGAGTGGGTGGATTTTTACCATTATAGCCTGGTTGTTTTTACATACTGCAGCCACACAACTGTGTTCAAACACCTTATAAAAATGATTTTTGCATAATAGGTCCCCTTTAACAACTACCTTACTAACTATAAATAAGCAGCAAATTAGGAGTTTATTGAAGCAAAAGTCGTAGTTAATGGTTTGTTAATAGCGAGAATTGGACCTTAAAATAAAGTGTGACCCAGTTTGCTGCTACCAAACAGCCGTATGTATATATATATATATATATATATTATAGAATTTTATTTTGGAAATTATTGCATTTTCTTAAATGTTTTTCTATAGCTGTGTCCCAATTCAGCGGCTGCAGGTGTTAAATGGGATGTCTAGTTTATGGGGGATTATTCTTGTCATCTAGCAATCATGAGTGACAGTAAAGTTTGTACTGTACTTTTTTGAAAAAGTTATATTTAACTGTTTGAAAACAAAACAGGGTTCACAACCTGTCTAAACATGTTCACCTTAGTCCATTATGTATATAATAAAAATTATAAACTACCTATAAAATCGCATCTTAGTGAGAAAGAAGTAAACTTTTAGAGTGTTTTCAAGTCAGTTGAAGCTCAATATTTACATTTGAAACTGTAAACCAGCATTGTCTTAAAAAAATATTTTAATAATTAAATAAAAATCTTGTCGTCACATAATAAACCTTGGGATAGTCTGGTCCTTGAAGGATCGATTCTTTGTATCCTTCATGGCCCAGAACACGAAGGACACATTTGGAGGAGGGACAGCCTTTGTTTCACTGATGTGACATTGATGTCTATTTCATAATATACATAAATTCATAGTCTGCATTTTCAATTGTGCTTGTCATATCTTAATTTGCTATTTAGACTGGTGTGTCTAAACTACAGGTATGTTTTGGGGTTCATGTTTATAGAGTTTATGTTTATATCTCATATAAATATGCGATACACAGACAGGCTTTCTAGATTATGCATTGAGATTGTTAGCCTCTCTCAGGTTAGGCTTTCTCTGTTTAAAGGAGTGCAATTTTTCATATACAAAGTGGTGTTTTTAACTTTCACAATATAGTAACTGGGATCAAAATTATTACACAGATATAAGCTGTAACTCTTTCTTTTCTTCATTTTGCACAGATAAACACATTCTTCAAATGTCTCCACTAGCACACAGAGTAACAGCTGAGCTTTGTGTGAAATATAACTCGTCATCTTGTTTCTTCAGGTCAGAATGTTGTTCAAGCTGAAGTTGATGCACTCGGGGTGGGGTGGAATCATGGATTCACGACACGGAGCGGTCACCATTACCTTCTGTGCCTTCTTTATGCAAGTGTTTGTGGAAGCTAGCTCATGGTGGTATGTAGTGTTTTTTCAAAAACACATTTGAAAATATAAAGTCATCATAGTATGTATGTGTTTCTTTCATTCAAGAAACATTGTTTTTTTGTGTAACTCTGTATGTCTTATACATTGTGCAACATGTCTGTGAGGATCCATTTCTTCCTCATACTGCTGAATTTCAGGATGAAAAACTGATTCACTTTTTCGAAACGCTCAAAATACCACATGCAAATACAACAAAAACTCTACACATGCATAAAACAGCTTTTACAAACCCAGGATCTGTCTAAAAAGGCCAATAAGAGACTATTAACTAGAACTCTTCCTTTTAATTATTCATTAATTTAATTAATGAGACACAAATGTCTCATTAAAAATATTTGACAATTTTAAAACTGATCGGATTAGGTTTGCTGCTGGTGTGATCATTGATTTATGGGTTCACTGGCATCATCACCCCCTAGCAACGAACCATTGAAATTTAGAAACATTTTGAAACAGTTATGACGAAACAAAGCCTTGTTTACTGAAATCATGTGACTTTGGCAGTTTGATACACGCTCCAAACCACTGGTTCGAAAAAAAAAGATTCACAAATGTTTCGAAGCTTCACGAAGAAGTGCTTCAAAAGCACCCATCACTACTATTTCACCGTTTGTATCACTCCACTTGTAGCATTTCTCACAGCGACTGTCATGGTGGATGCACAAATCCACTATAATTTTAGAAATAATACTGTTGTTGTGTCACAGAATGTAGTTTGAAGAGGTGTTTTTGTTGTTGTTGTTGTTGTTTTTGTTTTTTTGGTGAGAATGCAGTTGTTTAAACTTCAAATGTGCTGTTTATTTATAAAAATGTGAAATGTGATCTCCAGTGCGTTAGCGGCCATTCAGTGCTCATGAGCCCGCTGAGAAAAGCCTTATCTCAGCCAGCTTTTCTGGAATTTGCTGCTGGCTCTAATGTCTCTAGCAGTTAAACATGAGATATAATTCATTTCGGAGTATATCCAATGGGCACTCTTTCGTCTCATTAATCTATTATTTGTTCTAGAGCAAATAGTTTTGACTGAGAACAAAGTTTCATTACTGTATTTTTATGTAACTTCAATGCTGTATCAGAGTGCTGCCTTTGTACTCTTCACTGAATTGCATAGAAACTTTTATAATGGCATTTTTGATTATTAAATATTAATGTTGAATAAATAACATTTTGTATAAATAATAGTAATATCATTTAATATTAGTATTTGGTATTGAGACAGGTCTGTGTGTTAGTTGTAAGGGTGGTTTCCCTACAGTGGTTCAGGCTGTGGGATTGCTGAATGACTAAAGAAATAATATCAGCACGATGGTATAAAACTGTAAATTTCTTGTCTATTACCACCCACTGCCACTTGACAGAAATAAGCACAGTTGGAATAGCTAAATATGTTGGAGAGCGTTGCTATTGAGTGACTATATTGTATTGCAGTAGGTAGCACTTCAAAGTTAATGCTGAATCAAGACTAATTAGCACATAATTTATAATTGAAATGGTTTAATAACAGTATTTCGTTATTATGGTTACACTTGAGTTGGTTATAAATAGATGAAGCGTGGTAAAACATAAACAGTTAATTGTACCCAGCATGTCTGTAAAATGTTACCTTAGTTAAGAGAGAGAAAGAGAGAGAGGGGGAGATAGAGAGATGGCGAAAAAGAGGGAGAGAAGGCAGAGCCCCAAGAAGAGAGTGCTAGCAAAGAAAATAGGTTGCAAAGAGAAAGAGACAGAGACAGAGCAACATTTGTAATCTTCTTTTATCCCTTCCTTGACCATGTGACTAAAAACCAAATGTGAGACATTCAAACTGACCATTCAGCAGATTACAGCTTCACCTACTGTGCAAAAGGTCTAACAATTAGTAGAGCCCCAATGTATACACATCTTGGCCTACAGGCCTTAATCACTGTCAGGACCTCTGTGCCTTCAGGAATTCCAAATGTCCCTTTTTTTACTCAAGATAGGTTTGGGACAGGAAAGCAGACGTCTTTAATTATTTTTGACCCTACATAGTGATGATGATTACATTGTTACATTGATGGCGACAAGTGACTGTCTTTATGAGTGAGTAAACAGTAAAGACTTTTATATTGAAAGAGACTGAAAGAAGGAATAATTATAAGTAAATAAATATAGGAAATAAGGAAATTATTTTTACTTTCAACAACATCTTGTAAGACGCAGCAAACAAATGCATTGTTCATTGTTGTCGTGGGAAATCCCCTTAAAGGTGACATATCATGAAAATTTGGCTTTTCCAGGTTTTAAGTGCTATAATCAGGTCCCCGGTGCAGCTACCAAAGAAGGAAATGTGAAAAAGATTAATCCAGTAACTTTGTTTTGGCAAGACTTTTTCTGCAAGCCTTTGAAAAAACGAGCACGTCTGATTTCGCTCCCCTTGTGACGTTGCAAAGGGATCTCATTATAATATTACCGCCCCTTAATCTGTAAGTTTGCACCCACGCCTCCGTCATTGTGTTTACGCAAGCGACAACAGTGTACCAGTTCTAATGCCATGGTGAAAGTTTGAGCAAAACATGCTAACTGTTCTGTCTTTGGCTGCACAGACGAGCACAGAACACTATTTAGAGTCCCAGCCTCAGAGGAGACAAGAGAGCAGTGCATTTATTGATTTATTTACTGTATATTGCTGCTGCCACACAGATCTAAAATAAACATGCGATTTATTTTCCAGCTGTTTATCTTCACAGACATAACCAAATGTTTTTGTAACTCGTGTGTTTTTAACGTAAACTTGTGTGTGAATGAGAACTTAGTTTAGTACTCACATGCTGTGACAGCCGCTTTCTGTCCGTGTGCTTCGGATGTGTGCACTCAGAAAACCTTATATCAGAAGTTTAAACTAATATGGTTTAAAACGTATAATTTCAGCACGATAAACATGATAATCAGAACCAAAACAGATGTTTTTTAGCAGGTACGAGCTATAATGGTGCAGCTCTATTCTGGAAAAGGGGGCGGGGAACAGCAGCTCATTTGCATTTAAAGAGACATGCACGTAAACAAAATGATGTAATAAATGATTTGTGGGGTATTTTGAGCTGAAACTTCACAGACACATTCTGGGGACACCCGAGACTTATATTACATATTGTGAAAAGGGGCATAATATGTCTTCTTTAACATTTGAAAGGATACTATGACAAAGATATGACTTTCCTCAGCGGACATTCAAACTAATGTTTATTGTGAATATGAGATTGAGCTGAAGAATGAATGCTGTATCAGATGCAGGTAATCACACTCACTCTGTCCATCTCTCTGTCATAATACTCTACATAATACAATAAGCTTGCAAAGAAGCAACTCAGCATTCCTTCATTACTAGTAGGGCTGAACGATTTTGGAAAATAATCTAATTGCGATTTTTTTTTACCAATATTGCGATTGCGATTTAATATGCAATCATTTTTTAAAGCTCTTTATGTTCTGTATTATTCAACAAAGACCAGCTATAAATCATTGTATAGTATGACCAACACACTGTTATAGATAGATTAAACATAAATGTTATTTTCTGTAGGCCAGGCCTATATGTTACGATGAAATTAGGTGATGCATGAATTGATATGAATTACATTTTTATTTAACAACTACAATCACAGTATATTGCAGGCCCGGCTGGACTAGGCTCGCTGGACTGGGGGGGCAATCAGAAATTGTGGTAGGGCAGCACTTTCTAGGGTAATATATTCATAGTTTACTTTTATTTACTCAATTTTCAGTATTTTAACAACTACAATCACAGTATATTGCAGGCCCGGTACTAGGCTCGCTGGACTGGGGGGGCAATCAGAAATTGTGGTAGGGCAGCACTTTCTAGGGTAATATATTCATAGTTTACTTTTATTTACTCAATTTTCAGTCTTGCATTTTGTGTCGGTGTGAGTGCATTAAATCCTCGACTTCATTTTGCTCGCGTCGACTAACCGGCATAATACCGGAAGTGGCGCATTTCACGGACGAGAATCCATAAAACGCATTATTAGACTGTTTCCCAAGGCTGCATGATATATTAAACCCATTTAAATATCATTATTAAGCATAATTGTGAATTCACGTTTATTTTTTGCTGGACATTTTTGGGGGGGGGGCACAAGGAGAATCTGGGGGGGCATTGCCCCCACTGGACCCGGCCCTGGTATATTGACTGATTTGTTGAACTTCCAACCTTGTAAGTATGTAATAATTATGACAACATAAAGCACTGACAAATAAGCCTTATGTAAACATTAATATGAAATTAAACACTGTCTGTTAACTTTAGACCAGTGGTTCTCAAATTTTTGTGGTCGCACCCCCCTTTAAACCTATAAAAAATCTGACCCCCTTTCCCGAATCCCCATTCCACCTCAGACTACAAAATAATTTCATTAAACATTATGAAAAATTAATGCCTTTTTAATTTAAAAAAACTTACAGGGGAAAAAAAAACACCTGCATCACTTGAATGGCTTTTCTCTTCCTTTTCACAAACCGATCCATCTCCCATTCTAAGTTACGTCCTTTGTCTGTTAACTGTTTTATTTTTTTTATTTTTCTGCTGATGGTCCGCGCTCGACTTGAAGCAGCGCTGCTTAGACCGATGGGTGTGTCAACAAAGTA